AAAAAATGTGTATATATGAAGTTTAAGGGGGCTAAGGAGTTCTATTTTGTTTCATGTTCGTACCTTAGCTTTTTTTTTTTTGGTACATCGGAAAGAAAATGAAACCAAAGTAAAATATAAAAGAAGTATTACTCCGTATTTTGTATTACTCCCCAAGAAGATTTGAGCATTATCATCGTTAGAGAACTATAAGGCCACATATGGTCAGTGGAGGACCTAGGCCGGGGCCTAGGGGGGCAAGTGCCCGGGCTTCCGACCCCGAAGTTTAGTATTAGTACTAGGGCTGGTTCGGTATGGCATACCGAAAAAATAATGTCATACCGTATACCGTACCGAAATACCGGTATATGAAAATTCCATACCGTTACCGTACCGAAAAGTTCGGTATACCGAAAGTTCGGTATACCGAAATTTCGGTATCACAATCTTCATACCGATGCCATACCGAATATTCGGTATACCGAAACTTAACCACGGTATCGGTATACCGAAAATCCAAAATTTGATAGTAGTAGTATATATATGACACCTAAAACTCACTAAAATTATTAATAAAAATTTATAATAAATGCTACTACCTCCGTCCCACTAAATTTGGGACAAGAGAAGGTGACACTGTTATTAATAAAAGTGGGTTTATGTGGTTGATATTGAATTGATAAAGTAAAAATAAAGTAGGAATGATTTAGAACCACACAAACTTTACCAAATAAGGTATGGGACAATCTTAGTGGGACGGACCAAAATGGTAAAATGGGACAATCATAGCGGGATGAAGGGAGTAATCATGTTAAAATCATTCAAAGGCTATGCTGCTATGCACATTTAAAACGACATGGTATGGACACATTAATTCTAAAAGGAAGTAGATTCAAACACATTTAAAAGAACAGTTCAAGTATAAAATTCAGTAATATATACTTCATATAAAACATTATACGATAGTATAAAGGAGCCCAAAATCTGAAATCCATATGATCAATGAATTAGTGGTTGTTGGTTGATCGTTTCTTGATCCCTGAAAAGAAAGAAAGAGGTGGAAAAAGAATTAGCGGAGAACTTATAAAAACTCACCTAATACTTCAGTCAAATCTAACTTCTCTTGAAACAAATTATAAATAAGTTATCAAGACTAGTCTCATAAACCAAGCAGTCACCTTAATTAAAATTAGCAATATTGTGTGACCAAATATGATGTTTCACTCTAAGCCATTTGAGTTCTCATCAACTACGTAGTAAGGATATTGTGTGGCCAGAACGGATATGTCATTAAGAAATTAAGCACCAAATAAGTCATTAAGATTACTAACATGCCCAGCTTATGATATGAATTAATAAGTACTACTCCGTAGTTATTATCAAAATCAAGAGGAATGTAAAGATCTACTATGAAATGCAGAAATATGCTTTCTATACCATTATATTAATATTAAAATTCATCATTTAAATGTAAACTTAATCAAATAATAAAAACTTTACTTGTTTCAATTTCTTCAGTTTCTTAAACTCGTTCACATTAAACAATTAGAAGATCATTCAAAAACAATAATTAAACTGAAATGTTAATTTGTTTAATCACAAAAAATAAGACAAAAGGTAATTGTTCTGATGAGAGGATGCGATGCAATGACTGCTTTATTTTCACCGTTGTTGGCTTTAGTCTGGATTGCTCATTTTAAACTACAAATTGAAGTAAAACAAAAGGTAAATTAGAAATTGGAATAAACAATAAAGTAAGAAAATAAAAGATTAGTTTGTTCAGTTATTAAAAATCAACGAATACCATAGAAAACTCATGACTCTTGCGGAAAACAACAAAAAATGAAAGAGAAAACAAGAACTTGCCATAATCAAATCTCAGTTGCTAGGAGTGTGTAGTTGCAGATTGTCGTCCAGTTCCACCGGCATCAAATCTCTGGGTAGTTTGACTTCGTTTGGTCGCAGATGGGTACGTCGTCCCTGAAGTCTGTTCGTCGTTCGCTAATGGCCTGAGATTTCCCTGTGTGGTCACACTCTGAAGCTGAGGCTCTGTTATTACCAGTGTTGAAGCTCCGCCATCGCAAAGTGAATTTCCTATTGTCGCAGTTGGTTGCCATAAACTAGGGTTAGTGACAATATGAGATGCTCTTCAGTTGACCTTACCTTCAAATTTGGACCGCCTCTCTGCTTATACGAATGAAGGATGTATGGGCTGCTTAGATGGGCTGCTTCGAGCCCAAGAGACATACATTATGTATAAAATCTTTTATACATACGGTATTTCGGTATATACCGAAATACCGAAAATTTGAAACCTACATACCGATACCGTACCGTAACAGTTCGGTATGATACCATACCGTACCGAAGTTTTCGGTATACCGAAATTTTCGGTAATTTCGGTTTTTTTCGGTACGGTAAATACGGTATTTCGGTATTTCGGCATTTTTCCCCAGCCCTAATTAGTACTTAAAATAAAAAATTGTGCCCCTGTTATCTGTACAAAAAATTATAGTATTTTTCATTAGTATTACCGAAATATAACTAATGAACGTAATTATGGTCACTAAAATTGCTTTGGTAGTACGTAAGTTATATTTTTGTCCACTTTTTTTTATTTCAATCATATTGTCATTATTTCAAAAAACTATTATATGTATAGAACTCCGTCGAAGACATATAATAATTGTAGTAAGAAATATAAACAACTCTGCAGTTGTGATGGAACAAATTCTTATAGTTAGATATGTTGTTATATTGTTACTACACTTTAATTGAAAAGTGACATTGATGATTTTTTACTTGGTGTGAATAATGTCGGTCCAAAGTTAAAGTTCAAAGATACGACAAGGGTTCTAATATGCAGGATAAACTTAATAGATTGAAGACTTTTATTCATAAAAGTTGATACATGAAAAAATGTGTTAATGCGCGATAAATTAGTTTCAAATCGACATACCCTTTATATATTTTCTATAATATGATACTCGTAAAAGTTAGATATATAGAATCATATTATTAAATAAAGTTGTATTAAATGATGAAATCCTAAACTTGACTTATACTTAATTTAATTTAACACGATAGTATTATATTTTAGACAAGTACCAAGAAATTTTGTGGCAAAATGTATAACATCGACATGATCTTAGTTCAAATCTGAAATCTTGATCATTTTATAGTATAAAAAATAGCAAAAATTCTAATGTAAAATCAGAAACGGCGCAAAGATGAGTCATTTCTAATCCGCCAAATTATGTCTTTCTTTCAAAAAGTCAAATATTGTTGTTTAGAATTGTCTTAATGAATTCACAATTAAACTTGTAATCCGTATATATTCATTGCTTGACGTCGGGATTGAATAATCTATTTCCAGTTAAAAATATTAATTTGAACGCACTTGACAAAAAAGACCAATGATAAACCCAATTCGATCCGACCCGACCCATTTTTATCTATGTGGGAGTGCCCCCGCTTCGGAAAACTTCTGGGTCCGCCACTGCACATGGTGCATTGTGAGCAAGTTTGATGAGAGAATCTGTACATCTATTCCCCTCTCGGCTCTCAGAGGATGTGGCTTAAGATTAGTGGCAGATCTTCCAACCAAGTGTTGGGTGTTAGAAATTACTTTACTATTAAGATGTTACCTAGTAGTATAATATGTAAATTATTATATCAATTCTATACATGTATTTTTATACTTAATTTTACAAATTTTGGGTGTTCACATGAACACTCTTGAACAAAAAAAGTCCGCCACTGCTTAAGATTACCCTAGAAAAATTTGTAGACGTTCTCAACCATCCTCAATGAGAGTGTCATCTTTTTCATCCCCTCCCCACATTTTGGATAAAATGTAAATGTATATATCCAGAAAATTGCTTGCCCCCCTTTCTGTTGTGAGTTTTCCGCATTTGAAATGGCTGCTTGTGAATCCAGAATGTACCCTTAGCTTTGACATTAGCTCATCCCGCGTTTCACATCCATAACTAGGAGTGGTTCGGTACGGTATATCCAATATTTTATCGCATACCTTTACCATACCGTAAACTTTCGGTATGCAAAAATACATACCGTTACCATACCGAAATTTCGGTATACCTTGTTTCGGTATACTGAAATTTCGGTACGGTAAGGTACGGTATCGGTAAATTACCATGATTTAATATAACAAATTATTATATGTCAAATGAAATAAAAAAATCAGTGTTAATAGTGATATACTAAAATCATTAATGAAATTAATTATAAAATACCAATGAGATAACCTATTTGTGTTCTATTCAACTTTTGACAAAAAATATTATAAATATGTATAGATATTTCAACACATGATATATGAAGATAACAACACATTCTGCTAAAATAATTTAAACAACATAAATATAACTAAAATAACACCGATCTCTAACAAAAAGTATAAATAATTCAAGAAACATGGATATAAAGTCATTTATCCTTGAATTAGTGTTGTGTTTCTAGTTATTTTTACAATTTTAAGGAAATTATTGACTTGGAATTACGGTATGACGGTATACTGGTATACCGTTTGTTTCCAAAATATATACCGATACCATACCGAAGTAATTCGGTACGTTATCATACCGTACCAAAAGCGTCGGTATACCAAACATTTCGGTAAATTCGGTATTTTTCGATATGGTAAGTCCGGTATACCAAAATTTCGGTATTTTTCCCCAACCCTATCCATAATGTGCATATAAATCATAAACTTTAATGAAAATGTTATGCCTGCTGATAAACATGTTTAAACTTGTAGAATTGTATGTACATCATTCATTTTTGTGAATAGTGATGATAGCAGTGAAAACTTCATTATAGAATAGAGAAATGAGAGAATTCCTCAAATGGGACTAAAACATACGTAGTAGTAAATTTGCAAAAATAGCACATTAAGTTTATTCTTAAATAGGACTCTTAATTAATAATTAGACAAATTTGCCCTTATTGAAATAAAAGCCCCTGCATCTGCATCGATGAGTCCTTGCAATGAGACCTCCAGACCACCGACACCACTCAAACTCTTTTTCCCAGCCACCAACGCCAAGACTGCCGCTGCCACTGCACAGCAAGGCCGCCGCTGCCGCCGCTGCCCGGAAAGGCCGCCACTGCCCGGAAAGGCCGCCACTGCCCAATCTGGCCGCCGCCGCCAGTGAGAACATCGCTGCATACATCTGGTGAGGCCACTGTTCTACAAATCCTATTAGATGATCACTTATTCTACACTAGCTAAAGCTAGCAACTTTATCATGATTCAAATGTACATTTAGGATAAGGTCGGGTTCCAACGTTTTTTTATATTTAATTTCTCAACTGCAACTTCATATATTTGAGAATCCATTTTTAGGTATATTGAATGGCATTTTCAAATATAGAAAATGCCAAGAACTAATATTGAATGGCATTTTCGTAAAGAAAAGTAGCATTTTCAGATTGTGAAAATATAGAATTTTTATAAAAATAAAGAAATTTTCAATTTCATATTTTTGTACAAAATTAAGTAACCATTAGTTTACATCTGAAAATTTCAAATATGAGAAGAAAATGAAAAATTATAAGTGACATTCAATATACATTTAGTGTCTAAAAAATGACATCATTTGACAAAAATGCAAAAAATATGGCATTACAGATGCAATGACATTTCAAAGTGGGATTGTCAGTTTGATAAATGTACTACCATAAAAGTGACATTTTGTCAAATAACCAATAATTATGACATTCTCAACCATAAAAGTGCCATTTTGTCAAATAACCAATAATTATGACATTTTCAGGATTAAAAGTGGCATTTTCTGAGAATCAGTGACTAGGCTAGGGCATTTATATGTTCAAGATTAATCAAATTGATAAAAAGGGTAAAATTGTAATATATTTTTTATCAATTGGCCTTCGTTGAAATTCGTGTTCGTTGAGTAAAAACTTATGATTAACGGTGCTTTGTTGAAATCAAACTGTAAAAAGTGAAATTGTTCAACTAACAATCTCAAAACTAATATATTGATAGATAAAAAACAAAAAGCAGAGGATCTGGAAGAGAATGAGAAGAAGGTTGAAGAGGAGGAGGGAAAGAAACTTAGAAACTTACCTGGTTTCGCCGGAAAATCACCGAACAGGTGCAGCTGCGATCCATGGTCGTGGGAAAAATCGCAGGCAAAGAGACAAAGAGGCCAGTCGATGGTGTTCGATGCAGAGGGAGAGATGTCGTCATTGAATCTGGCGGAGATGAGCTGGGCTTTTGGGTTTAGTTACAAGAAGGGTAAAAATGTAATCTACTTTGTGAATAATAAACTTGTAGTCCTACTTTGGAATTTACTTAATGTTTTAGTCCCATTTAGGACAAATTTGCTGCAACCGCATTAAGGTTGAATATTGTATTATACTCCGTATTACAAATATACATTCGTGTGTTACGTTACTCATATTGATTGCGTTATACATAGAATATATATGTTTTTCATCGTACAATGAACAATCCTACACAAAATATCCAAGTTGATGTTAAATTTTAAAGCCCGCTTCATATTGGTTGATTATGCTAAAATTTATGAAATTCTGGCTAAAGTGACTCGATTGGCTAATTCTACTGATTTATGAAAAAATAATATTTAAAATATATGTTATTGATAAAATAAAGTAAACATTTTTGCTACATATGAAAAACGGTTAAAATGATTCTATACAGCAACTTCATCCTAAACAGTCAAAGAAGTAACTCTAATTTTACTTTTTCTAATTATTAAACAATTTGACGCGCGAAATCAAAATTTACTGTTTGATAAAGGAGTTAGATTGATAAACCTGATAAACGGGAAAAACAGGGTCACAAAACATGCTCTTAGTCACTCTTTACTAATCTAATAAAGAAGACAATTTATTGCAGAATAACGAAAGAGTTCAGTTAAGGGTTCCACCAAAACAAAGGTGTAATGGGACTATTGGAGCAAGGTCTCTCAATAGTTGAACATGTTACCCCTCATCATAGGAAATTAGTCTCAAATGGAACATAATAACATATACTAGTATAATCATCCTAATTAGTTTGATTTTTTTCCCTTAAAACTACAAAAAATGGAAAAAAATGTTACCACTGCACTTTTGAAAGAAAAAAAAATAACACGTATATAACTACTTTTCATTTTTTTTAATGTGACCCCTTTTCTAATTGGCATACACTTCTTTTAGTTCTAATTCTTATCCAATTACCCACCTTGTCCCTACCTCACCCCCTTGTCCCTTTTCTTCATTCGTCAACATTTCCTGGGAAAAACCATCGTCGCCTCCCGCCTGAAAAGTTTCCAGAAAATTTCGTTGGTTTTTTTCTTCATTTTTAAATTTTCGTCAGAAAACGTCTTAGGGAACATTTTCTGACGGTCACATTGATGTGTTTTATGAAGACAATGACATCGGTGGCGGCGATAGTGACATTGGTCAAGGCAGCAACGACATTCATTGACATATTAAATTGATAGTGACATTAGAAAATCTGCGGGTAAAATATTAATTAAACTTGTACGTAGTGACATTGTGACTTTAATAAAAAAAGTAAATGATTAAGAAGAGAAACATAAAAAAGAAAATGAAATAAAAGTACGGGAAGCAAAAGAAAATGAACAAAAATCTATTTGGGAAGGAAATTGTTTAAGAGGATGGAAAATGAATAAAAACTTTAGGGAGGAAAAAGAAAAATGAAACATGCATGGATTGTTTTGGGTAGATTTGTGAAATGTTGAATTATTTATGTGAGGTTTTCAAAGAAAAGACAAAAACAACTGGTGTAATAAAGATGTTTTTACTTAGACTGTTTTCAGTCCCAGCAGATCAGAACAGACTAGCCCTAGATAGTTACAAAATACACAGAGACCGGACATTTACAAGACCAGATTGGACCAGATCAGACTAGCAAATTTTAGTCCAAGTAAAAATATATTAAGTCATCAATCGGCTAGGGTCCAATTCAATGAAAGAAAATGATGTGCAAAGAGAGGATTATTCTGAGATTATTATGAGAAGATCTGTCAAAAGTTGGATTATTCTTATCATTTTTTCATGAGATAGTGAAGTTGAATCATTTAAACATAACAAAATTAAGACTTGGAATCAATTAAATGCATCTTATATAGGTATATATACCCCCATTTTTAATTAAGTAGCATAGCAGTCACTAATCGAAAAAGTAAAAATTAATGATTGATATTGGTGGTGTTGGGTTAATGGCCCAAATTGAGGTTCGGCCCATTTACCCCTTCACCCGGACGTACGTCCGGATAGGACACTAGGCTAACCTGATAGGCAACTTAGAACGGCCCATCCCGACGAACGTCTACGCAGTTAACAAGGAGCAGGCCCACAGGCCACCAGAATGAGGACGAAGGGAAGCCCATAGCCGCTGGAGGCAATCCAATCCACATGGCGAAATCCCCCAAGGGCCAGGGGACGAACGGCCCAATACCCTTTGCAAACCCACCAGGAGCAACTCACCTCCCCAGCTGGACGAACGTCGCCACTAATTAGGCGGGAAACCTAGATTCTGGCGGGAAGTGCATTTAATGCTGAAGATTTGGTGGTTGAGACACCAGCCATCCACAGTCATCCACGTCAGTGTGGCCAACTGCCCATTGGTGGTATAAATAGAAGCATTTATTTCATTGTAAAGGGTTAGCAACTTTCTATTCTTAGCACTCTAGCTATAGCATTCATACTCGCAGCACCTCTACTGCCTTGTAAGACGAACGGCCGACGAGCCTTAGCGAAAGTATTGTATTAGGGAGTTATTAACAGATAATAATACCTAATCACTTACTTGCTACTTATTGTTTCTTAATCCATCTCACTTGCTAGTTGGGCTAGATATTCATACACACTCCACTCGAAATCCTTGGGCTTACGTGTTGGACCTGAGGGTTGAAGGAATAAACTTCAACAGGTGGTTAATGAGAGAAAAATACTCTAAGTACATTCATTCATGACTTTAAAAGGAAATAAAATATGATTTTTAGGATAAATAAAGGGGGAGTTGGCAGAGTTCAACGAGAGAGATAGATACTATATTGAAGTTAAAAGTGATTATTTTTACATATGCCCAAAAACATTCGAAAAATGTAAAGAAAAATAAAACATTCCAGAAAATGTAATTTTATTTTTTGCGAGTGTTTTACTTTTCTTAATTTTTTCCAAATGTTTTATTTATCTTTCAAGTTTATCTTCCCTGTTCTTTTTGTGGCATAGATTTTTTCACATAATTGAAAGAATTAATGAGTGGGCTTACTTAGAAATATATGATAATGGAGAAAGAAGAAAAATATATTGGTGGTGGAATTAAGATAACAAGAAGAAAGAAGCTAAGAAAAAACATGAAGAGTAACAAAAAGAAAAAAAGGAAAAGTGAAAATAAAAAGGAAATATAAGAAAAAGTAGAGTAGAAAAAAGATTTTTAATAAAAACAGAATGAGTAAGAAGAAAAAACATAAAAAGGGTAATGAAATAAAAATATGGGAAAAAAGAAAATGACAAAACATCTACTCCGTATATGGGAAGGAATTTGTACAAAAAACTCTTTTAATAGAGTGAGAAATTGAATAATTAATATGAAAAAGAAATAAGAACAAAAGGAATGAAAAAAGAATTAAAAAGTTTCTAGGGATAAAATATACAAAGAAAGATTTTAGGGAGCAAAATGATACATGAGACTATTTTAAGCAGATTTGTGAAAGGTGAAATTATTTATGTAAGGTTTCCAACAAAAATAATAAACTTGATATAGTTGATCATTAATATGAAACATTATTATGAATAGATCGCTTAAAAGTAGGATTAATTTGTCAGTTTTTCCTATCCTAATTGGTCCATGTCATCATATATGGACAATATATGATACCCTGAACGTATCATTGAATTTACTTTCTTACCTCCCATCCAATTTAAAATTGATATAATATTGAAGGTAATAATATTTGAGGTAAATCTCCAAAACTGCATACCAAACAAAACAAATAAAATCATTTAGGATATTCCGTATGCGCTGTTAGACTTGTCCTTACCAGGCATATACGGAATCTATTTGCAGCAATATATTCACACTTGTTTAATTATTCAGTACACTACTACAGACTTACAGAGTACAGATCATTTTTTTTATAAAATATTGAATTTAGAACAACTCGTACGTCCAATAATATACGTAGTAAGTTTCTTATGTTGTTTTGCTATCCTTTTTTATCTACTCTGCAGGATTCAAATTTAAAGTTTTGATCAAAATTAATTAGGTTTAAATTACTCTAATCATTTACCTCCTACCTTCTTTGGCATAATGTGATTGAATATGATATTATGAAATTTAGTCTAATCTTGTGTGCGCTCTCTGGTTGGGCTAGACCATGGGCGTAGACAGGGGGTGGCCATCCCTGACCATGGCCCAGCCCAAATTTTAAAAATATCTAAATTTTTAAGATAAAAGATTTAGTGTAAATTGTTTTCCAAAAATATTCTTTGTACCGGTCCAATCCGGCCCAGTGTCCTGATTCCGCCCCTGGGCTAGACCAACTATATGATTTTCCTACAACACCGACTATATGAAGTTAATATTACCTCCATCCCTTAAAACTTTGCCAAGTTTGACCGCTATGGGGATTTTTTTTTTACCGCGGAAGGCAAATCACCAAAATCAGTGGGGCAAATGCCGGAGGACATTTGCCGAGATTTTATTAAAAATCAAAATACTACAGGAGAGAGGGGGATTAGACCAATACATCTAGAGATGGCAATAGGGCGGGTTAAGTGTGGGGGAATCTGATAAGTCCGTATTTAGACACACATTTGATGTGTGTTGGGATTGGATTTTGATGGTTTTCCCGGCTTTAAGGTGTTGCAAGTCTCAATTTTAGCTCAAGTTATGTTTATCGGGCGTTGGTTCGAGTTTTGTGTTGTTTGTAGTCAAAATCAGGGAATTTGAGCCCGGTACCGGCACTTGAGGATCAATCGGGATAATTTGAGAAGCATTTGAGAATGATTTGATAGCTTTGGAGGTCACCGGAAGATTCACGATGAAGATTTGAAGGCAAAAGAGCTCTAGGATTGACTACGGGGTCAAAAGAAGATGAATGAAGTTTGAAAACGACGATTAGGATGACCTTCTGTCAATCGTTCAAGCATATCTCTTTGTAAAAACATCCAATGTACACGATTCAAGTTCCATAGGAAAGCCAACTTCAAGGGCTACAAATCAT